CTGACCTCCGGGCTTGGTGGCCTTCCCTTTCCCTGGCCTCTTCTCTCCAGGCCATCCCCTCTGTGTTCGGTGGCTGCTTTCTCATCAGGTGAAGGGAATGAGGCAGTTCAATGTGTTTTATAAAAGAGCTTTGGGCCTTAAACTTCTTTGTAAGTAAGATTGCGCTATACCCGGGAGAGATGTGATGCCCCTCGGCCCTAGAAGATGAACCTCCTACTGCTTTCCACTTAAAGTGCCCTGCTTGGGGCGCCTGGGGGGCTCAGTCGGTTAAGCGTCTGCCTTCGGCTCAGGTCGTGATCCAAGGGTCCTGGGATCGAGTCCTGCATCCTGTTCCCTGCTCAGCAGGAAGCCTGCTGCTCCCTCTGCTGCTCCCTCTGCTCGTGCGCGGTCTCTCCCTCTCAAATAAATAAATAATAAAAAATAAAGTGCCCTGCTTGCAGCTGCAGACGACATCGCCCCAGACGTGAATCCCTTCGGGCTCTGCTGAGGTAGAGGACTTCCTCAAACTTGACCTTTGGAAAACACAGTTACAGCTCTGATCTGAAAAAAAAAAAAAAAAAAAGATAAGTGAAATGACCTCGCATCGACATTGGTCCCGAGTTTATCAAATCCTTTAAATAAAGACCTCAAGGTCAGCAGACCCATAGCCTGTGTCCTCCCGGCCCAAGTTTGATTACAGAAAGGTATGTGAGGTCTGACAGAGATGAAGGTCAATGGTTTTCAAGCTGATTTCTGACATGTTTCAAGGAGACACTCCAGAAAAAGACTTGGAGGTACAGGGCGGCCTGGCCTGAAATTAGGGGTCCCCTAGGCTTCCCCTCACTTTCAGCCAGTTAGTCCAGTCTTTCAGTTTCTATTTTATAGAATAAGCCCTGGGATCACATTTTATTTAAGGGGCCTTTCCCTACCTGTAATTGTTTTTTGTATATTAAAAAGCAACTGAGCTAACCCGACTCCATCCTCTGCCTCTGAGGCCACTGAGGTGCCGAAGGGCGAATTCACTTCCCCAAGGTCACATATTGTTTCAGCTAAAAGCAATTCCTTGTATTCCTCCTTTGAAAGCTCAAATGCTGGGCCAGTTGCCAAGTCTGTCGGAGTTCGTTCCTCTGCTGTCTGGGTCAGCCCTTCTTCCATCCAGCGGTGCTGACCTGGCCAGATTTCCTTTTTGTGTAGGACTCCTCCGGGTGTGTTTGGAAAACGAAACACCATTCAGGTGCGTGTGTGTTGGGGGGGCGGATTTGAGTGGAGAATCCTGTGCCGTGCCCGTTCTCTTCGAGGTACAGTCGGCCTGTGTGGTTGCCCCTCCTGCTGATTTATTTATGCCTTGTAGCCAGCCTTGCAGGGAACCCAGAGCAGCTCTTCTCCACCCAAAGGCCGTTCCCAACAGCCCTGTCTTGGGAGACAGCATTAGGAGGAAATTATGCCCTGAAAGGAAAAATTGTTTTCACCCGTGGAAACACTTTTTGTTTTCTTTTTTTTTTTAAAGATTTTATTTATTTATTCATAAGAGACAGAGAGAGAGAGAGGCAGAGGGAGAAGCAGGCTCCCCGCCGAGCAGGGAGCCCGATGCGGGACTCGATCCCAGGACCCTGGAATCATGACCTGAGCCGAAGGCAGACGCTTAACCATCTGAGCCACCCAGGCGCCCAACACTTTTTGTTTTCTAACTTTCAGGAAAATAAAGCAATAAGCCAAACAGACAAATACGAATGGCAATGACATTCTGCTGCTAGCAATAATGGATATGTGGTCATTTCCATCTTAGCCTCCCTGTTTACTAGAAACTTCTTCATTTGGCTCTGTGACAGACTAGAAGCTCACTGAGAAGTAGTTGATTTCTACAAATAGCTCTCCACCCATCTAAATATTCAATGCCTTTATGATCTTTTGTCCAAAAACTCAGCTGCTAATCCCTGCCTCCTGGGTTCGTGGTCCGGAGACCCTGCCCACAGCCTGGCCTGTCAGCCCCCGTGTGTGGCTGGTTCTCAAGAAATAGAGAAGCAGAGTCCTGGGACCTGGTTTCCTTTCTCCCAGCTTCGACTCTGCTCCTCTCTGCCATTGGCTTTATCTACCATTTCTATTTCTAACCCCTGTTTCCGCTCCCTCTAATTGTTCCCATTGGGACCAACATATATACTAGCATTCTGGTTATTTCCAAAGATATATTGAAGTCCTACACTGAGATTTCCTACAAGGAAACGTAGATTCTGGTTCTGAAAAGACAAGCACCCAACTCTTTTATTTAAGTACATCTAATTCCCAAGAGTTTGGAGACCGATATCGGCTTTCGTGCTACTTAATTACATATTCAGAGATGTTATCTAAAAACTCCTTTGGGTGTCCTATATATGCGCTGATATTTTTAGTTTCATTTTTGCTTCTTCTGTTCCTAAGAAGATTTAAAGAATATCTAGCTCTCCTCCAAAAGAGAGAAATCCTCAGAGATTGTAAAAAGCAGATCGAAATATGTTAATTAGTAGTATGTCACACGGAAGTGATTTGCTGTCATCCCTGCCAGTCTTTCAATTATTTACTAGGATTAAGATACTGCACTTGGTCTCAGGTACATCTCTAGGGTAAGGAAATGGTTGTCTCTGAGTGTTGATAATGTCCTATAACATTTGGGTATCATGAAATGACACAAGGGAGGAGTTCGACCCTTTTCAGAGTTTGGGAAATTTCTCCCTGTAAAGCTTCAAGGCAGGACAGATTCCTGGGTATATTGGTAGCTGGTGGGTTAAAATAACGAATCTTTATGTACAAAGGGGCTTTTTACAGGCTTTGCTTCAAGGACGGGCCTGTAGGATGTATATTCATAAACCAGAAGACTCAGCGATTAGTCCTCAGATCAGAGAGAGAGGGGAATTTGTCATTTATTTGTCACAATTTTATTGGTTCTTGTTCCGCAAATCCAGCCCTAATATCTTGGCAGAGAGGTAAAACTCTATACGCTTCCTTATTTCATTCATTTCGGGCATTACTGTCTTTCCTAATTGGGATGGATCTATCGCCATCCTAACTTGAATTTACTTAGAAGTAAAGTTCGTCCCCGAAGAGACATGCCTTTTTAGCTTACAGCACGTGCTCGCCAGTGACTTTCTCTGGGGCCGTGCCATGCACTTCTTGGCTTGAGGCTGAAGCCTTGAACTTCCCATGACTGGAGCTGAGAACAGTGTCAACTTCCCCCTGACTCACAGGACTCTGGGGGAGGGGGAGGTAGAGATGCTGGAATAAAGTTGGGAACCTTTTAGGAGAGAGGAATGCGTACTTGGCACGCAGCCAACAATGTCAAGTCAGTTAATATTCTTGCAATTTCCAGGGTCTTTTTTTTTATTATTATTATTCCTTAAATATAAAAGTAATCTTGGCTTGTTTTCAAGGCCTCAAACACAGTATTGGTCCTTTAAAACTTCATTCCCCCAAACAGTACTCTCTGGCGCCCCCCACAAGAGCTCCTTGACGCCAGGTACCGTGCCTGGCTCATCTGAATATTCTCCTCGCTCCGCACAGGTTCTGGGCCCCAGTAGGCACAGAATGAATATTTGCAGAATAAATGCATGCGACTTAGTCGCAAATTCCCTGAGGATTTGAGCACCCCAGACTTGGTATAAAGCAAAGCAGAGCCAAAATGCAGACCTACGAGAGCCCCTTTACACTCTTGCCCCTGCCATAGGGCTGCCTCTTCTCCCTATTTTCATTTTGCTTTCATTTTATTTTTATAAAGCTTATAACTACCATAAAAAGTAGCACGAAAACTATTTTTTAGACTGATTAAACAGGGTGACCATGTTTTTGTTTGTTAACTCGTTACTAATCTACCATAATTTAAGGACATTTGTCATATTTTAAAATAGATTGCTTATTCCTGTTTTAACCCCCTTCAGTCTTTTTTTTTTTCTTTCCCCTGCCAACTGCCAGGATAAGAGGGAGTGAAGGGATGGTTGAAAATAGGACTGCATTTTAGCAGACCCTGCGTGTTCTTGATGTGTTTCTTATACCATCCCTCCCCTGGGTTGACTGTACTAGTCCCATTTAAAAGGTAAACTAAAGAGGCGCCCGGGTGGCTCAGTCGGTTAAGCGTCTGCCTTCGGCTCACCCAGGGTCCTGGGATCAAGCCCCGAGTCTGGCTCCCTGCTCAGTGGGGAGCCTGTTCCTCTCTCTCTCTCTCTCTATCCCTCTCTCAAATAAGTAAAACTTAAAAAAAAATAAAGGTAAACTAAAAATATTCATTGGTGAGTGATTTTTCTCAAGTCTCTATATTCATTATCCGTGGCTACTGCAACAAATCACCACATGCTTAGTGGCCCAAAACAACACAAATGTATCTCTTTCAGCTCTGGAGCTCAGAAGTCCAAAATGGTTCTTATTCAGACAAAACCAAGGCCTCGCCAGGGCTACAGTGCTTTCGGAGGCTCAAGGGGAGAATCTGCTCCCTTACTTTTTCCAGCTTCCAGAGGTGCCCTGCGTCCCTTGACTCGTGGTCCCTCGCCCCATCTTCAGATCACCCTCTCCTTGACCCTCCTGCCTCCTCCTCCCATTTTGTAAGGATCCTTGTGGCCACACTGAGCCCAACCAGATCATCTCTCCATCTCCACATCGTTAATGACACCTGCCAAGTCCTTTTTGCCATGTAAGGCAGCAAATTCACAGATCCCTTAGGATGGGGAGATCTTTGGGCACATTATTCTACCTACCATAATCCTAGACCCAGAAAGTGTCTTCACAGAATTTACCTTCTGAATATACAAAGGAGACAAGATTTCGGCTTGTGTGCCTTCGCCTGATAGCCTGTCTTGGATGTTACTTAATTTTATGAAGAACTAACCTCTTCTGTATTTGTGTGGACAAAACGGGGTTGAGCACAAGGATAGCCAAGCTATTGTAATTACCTTGGCACCTTGGCAGTTGAGAGCCTGTGAGTTTTAGACAGAAGTTTTTTAAAACTTGCCCTATGGTGACATGTGGGATGAACTCAGAGTCTTCTAACTTTTGTCTTTTAGGCTTATGTACAGAAGTACATTGTGAAGAATTATTTCTACTATTACCTATTCCGATTTTCCGCCGCTCTGGGTCAAGAAGTCTTCTACATCACATTTCTTCCGTTCACTCACTGGAACATTGATCCTTATTTATCCAGAAGACTGATCATCATATGGGTTGTAAGTATGCTTATTACTTACTAACCATGACTACGCCTACGACAACTACCCGCTTTGGCATTCGAGTACTTTGCATATGTGGTCTTCTTTTTTTTTTAATCACTTAGAGTTGAATTTTTATATGGTTTACTTTGGAAATAATAAAAAGCTATGAACACAACTTGTTTTGTTTGCAAAAACCAAACAAGCCCGTGATGCATGTACATTGGCACATACCTCTATTTGGGGGAATAAACCCAGAAGAGAGATGATGTGAGGTGCAGGGAAGAAAGGACATTTCTGAGAACCCATGTATAGGGGCGTAAAAGGTATCCTCCCAAGAGGCCAATTTTGGTACAATTTGACGCAAAACTGAAACTCGAAGCCGTTGACTAAATCATTCCAAGTGGTCTTAGAACCTCGGAACTGGGGCCCTGGCACTTGGGAGGACGCTACCAGTCGCTGCTTAAACGTGGTAAAGCTTAGTGACTAGTCTGTGAAGGCGAGGGAGTTTTAATGATCACCCAGTTCAGAGGTCAGACTGCTTCCTTGGGAGGGGGAGCATCAGGGCGAGGCTGCCAGCACACTGTTTCCCCACCTCAAGATTCTGCGCTGAAAACAGAGGTTCGGGAGCACTTGGCTGTGTGAAAGGAGTCTGGGTTCTTGTGCAGCTCTGCTCTGAGAAGCTGTGTGGTCTTTTTTTTTTTTTTAAGATTATTTATTTATTTATTTGACAGAGAGAGACATAGCGAGAGCAGGAACACAAGCGGGGGCAGTGGGAGAGGGAGAAGCAGGCTTCCTGCGGAGCAGGGAGCCCGATGTGGGACTCGATCCCAGGACCCTGGAATCATGACCTGAGCCAAAGGCAGACGCTTAATGACTGAGCCACCCAGGCGCCCCTGAGAAGCTGTGTGGTCTTAAGCAAATGACTCCACCACTCTGAGCTTTATTTTTCTCATTTGTAGACCAAGTTCAAGGGTCTACAGAAGCCTCTGTCAGAAGCCATAACCTCACATGTCCTTTAAGGCAAGGGAAGGGGAGTAAAAGAGTGAAGTGCTGGGCGGGGATGGTGGGGAGGGGGTGTCTGTGAGCGTCACGGTGTGGCCCCTAGGAGCACTGGGGAGCAGTCACCCCTCCACTCCACCTGTGACCTTCGTGAAGCAAATGGGCTGGAGTTGCTAGATTTGTTTTTAGTGGGAAGCCTCCCATTTTTTAAATGTGGGCTTACATCTTTAAGACATTATGTGTCAGCTGAACAAAGAATCCTTGCAGTCCACATGTACGAGGATTGGTTTGAAGGCTCTAGCCTAGAGCTTTAACCACTAAGGTCTCTAGGGCTTATGGTTATGATTACTTGGCCCCCAATTCCTCCTGACTTTTTTTTCCTCCTCTTCTCTCTAAGACTACAAGCCACTGGCTCCTTTCCCCATCCCTGTCCCCAACCAGTCTTTTTCTGCAATCTAGCTCCTGTATGAGCGAGAGTATGACCTGAGATTCTGCAAAAGCATAGCCTTCTTGCAAAAGGCGAAATTTCGTGTAATCAATTGTGCATGTCTCTTTCTGATGTCCCTTCCCTACCTGCAGAGCAGGGCCGTCCCTGGCTCAGCTTGGAGGGCAAGGAGAGTGCATGGGGGCAGGGAGCATTTCTGAAATGCAGCAAAGGTACACAAAGCTTGCGTTTCCTCCCTGCTGTTTATTTTCTATGTGTGTGTGCATATGAATATATATCAGTTTTCCAAATTTTACGGTGGTTGAGTGAGGCAAATGATGTAAAGCACTTTAATAATTGTTCATGTGTACCGTCAGCTCAAGGCAAGCTGTCTCCCTCACCGAGAGTGGGCCGTTTTTCCTGAGGGGCTGAGAGGATCTTTATACCCGATGGTAGCCAGGGAACTGATTGTCCTTTTGGTTGTTATGTTTCACCGTGGAGTCCTCCTTCCAAAGTGCTCGAAGGATTTCCTGTGTGAGGTGAATTACCAGTCTTTTGTCGGAGAGTGAGCAAATCAGATCTTGGCCTGAGAAAGTAAAAGAGGAACCTTTGAGTAGCAGATTGTCCTGCGCTCTGGTGACCAGTTCCTTGCTTTTAAAAATGGGTGTGTGCTCAGGTCCACAGGCACCCGGGCTCAAGGTTCCATGTCCTGCAGGGTCAGCCGGATCCTCAGAGCAGTAAATTCCTAGTAGTTCCTTGTGCAAACAGACAGTGGAAGCCATTCCAGGAGATAGACAGGGACAGGGAGGGACAGGGACAAGCAGAGATGGATGGGGAGAGACAGAGAGAGGGAGAAAGAGAGAGAGAGAGAGAGCGGCCCAGAAAGGCATAGATGGAGAGGCACGTTGAGAGGTGGGTACGAGGGAGCTCTGTGCTGGCTGCAGAGATAACGAGAGATGCTTCGTTTGGCTCCGCAGGAAGGGAAAGGGAGTCCCTGGTGTGGGGGGGGGGGGGGGAGGGAAGGCAGGGTGGAGCACAGTGAGGTCCTTCCTCTGAGGGAGCCTCTCTTGCAGAAGGGACATGGGTCTTCAGGGAGTGAGGATGCAGCCACGCTAATTACCCGAGGCACAGCTGAAGCCTCCTAGTGTTAAACAGCTTATCTCGCCCAAAAGGCTTTGAAAGGCCACTGTGTTCAGGAGTGCCAATCCTCTTGTGAGATTCTACATCTAGTCAACAGTTGTCCTGGGATGGAATCACAACAGGTGTTATTGCACTTAAAATTATCGTGCGGGTGACTCATACCATCTGAGGTAGCTCAGCAGAATTTATGGTTCTATTAAGCACTTCCTCGTCGCAATCCTGACTGTCCCCCCACCCACTCGCACACACATTGTCTGTCTTCTGTTGCTTTTATTGGCGTCTGTGTTCCTTATCTTATTTGATTTCCTAACAATGGGTGAGTATCATTTTCATCATTTTAAGGACCGGGCTAGCAATGCTTCAAATCATAACGAGCCCTCCCCTATGTCGAGTGGGTCAGTGTGTATTACCGCTCACTGTGATGATGCTGTCCGTATTTTTACCTCCTTTAATCCTGTCGGCGATCCTGAGAAGTGGTGATTGCCAGCCCATTTTACAGATCAGGAACTGATGCCTAGAAAGATTAAATAACTCACCCAGATTCACATTAGAGTAAGTGGATTTGATCCTGGCTCCCAGGACCTCCTGGGGTGGAGACACCTGCTGCAGTCATTTCTGAGAACAGAGCTAAATGACATGAAGAGCATTCTCTCTCTCTCTCTCTCTCTCTCTCTCTCTCTCTCTTTTGAGATGTTCAAACTGAGGCTTTAAGCATTAAAATGACTTGCCCAAAGTTACCTTCTTCTTCCTCTTTTTTTTTTTAAGATTTTTTTTTTAAAGATTTTATTTATTTGAGACAGAGAGAATGAGAGAGAGAGAGAGAGCACATGAGAGGGGGGAGGGTCAGAGGGAGAAGCAGGCTCCCCGCCGAGCAGGGAGCCTGATGCGGGACTCGATCCCGGGACTCCAGGATCATGACCTGAGCCGAAGGCAGTCGCTTAACCAACTGAGTCACCCAGGCGCCCAAGATTTTATTTTTAAGTAATCTCTACATACAACCTGGGGCTCAAACTTACAACCCCGAGATCAGGAGTCACACGCTGTACCAGCTGACCCAGGCAGGTGCCCCCCAGAGCTACCTTCTATTGCATATTCGCCATGATTGTGTTTCAGGTTTGCCCATATGACATTTATGAACTCTGTATTCTATCTAAGCGTCTTTTATGTAACTTTCTTGACAAGTCAAAGTATTTTATCCCAGAAAATGTAGACAAGCGAGCCTTTTCAGTTAGCTGAAAGACCTCAGTCAAGTCATCATTTCCCTCTTCTGTCACTTATCAGGGTGTTTAACCTGGCATTGGATTCAACCATTGGATTTCACTGAGCAGAGATGACTGAATGGTTATCAACCTAGATTCTCATGAAAAGACATGGTAGACCGTGCTTTAGGAAAAGTCACTGTCCAGAGTGACTATCCCATCTCTTGACTCCCATTTTGGTGTGGTGGCAGCCCTACCAAAAAATAAAAGCTTTAAAATAGTATTGTTGTGTCTCCAAGAGGTGAGCGGTCATTTCATTGCAATTGCATGGTGGTCGGCTTTGTAACATGAGGCAAAATCTCACTTCTTGCCCAATCAGGTTATCCTCCATTTAGTAAAATAGCAATGCAAATATTGATACCACAGTGGATCCTTGGGAAGTTCCTTCTTGTCTGTTCTTAATGATATTTTACTTATTTATATACTGCCTCTTTTAAGAGACCTCCTGGCATTCAGAACGAGGTACAAGAAAAAAATGGGAAAAGCAAAATTTGGGGAAATATGGATAAATTAGGAGATAAAGGCCTAGTCTGAAATGAAATGTAGCCTGCTAATTCAAAGTTGAGCCACAAATCTGTCTTTGACTTTGTCCTGACCAAACCTAAATGAGATTCAATTACATCCACTAGGAAACATTTGGCTTTCTCCTAAGGGAGCAAAACTTTTTCTGACACGCAGAGTTCATAGAATCATTGAGCTCTGTTGCTAAATTATTTTCCTAGAAATAGTTTGGAATCACTACCCCCATCATGTGTGAGTACCCATTTTGACTTTTCCTCATAAACTTTGTGCATTCTCATTTTTTAATCACTGCTAATTTCACCAATGAAAAAATGGTATCTCAGTTAATTTTCATTTCATAGTTTTAGTGAAGACGAAAGCATTTTTCAGACTTTTATTAGCCATTTGTATGAACTCTTCTGTGACTTGTTAGTCTGCCTTTTGAGTGGTTTTTTTTTTTAAGGGGCTTTAGTTTTTTCATTGATTTTTTTCTTCAGTTATAAAATGATACTGAGCTATTGATTTGTCCATGGATCAGAGACCATGTATCTTTATAGATAAGATCTTTAGAAGTTTGAGACTTCGAGAAATGGTATTTAACTTTATGGTATCATTAGTGACTTAAAGTCCTTTAAAATTGAATTTCAGGGGCGCCTGGGTGGCTCAGTTGGTTAAGTGTCTGACTCTTGATT